ATTTGGTTCGGTTCGGTTCTCTTTAGAACCGAACCGAACCGACCCGCGCCCACCCCTATATTGTACCAGTAACTATCAATGGAAATGGATCTTTCAAGAGATGTACGGGGTTTCATTTCTTTGCCAAATATGATCAAATCTACTAAATAACCCTAAACACCTACACTAAAGTGCATAACGTTGTCTGGACTCTCGCACTCACTCTCCCAGCCTCGCTGATATTCTAAAACCTATACAATCATCGGCCGACACTGTGACCTTCGATTGAAGCTGTGACCTCTGCCGACCGAAACTTTGATCGTAGTGATCATTTGAACAAGGTAGTTTACTAGTCTCTGACAGTCCAAAACCATTGAATGTATCATTACTTGTATTTATATAATATTATTATAAATGTTAAAAAATTTAATTATAGTACAGAACCAAACGGAACCGAACCGAACGGTTCCATTTACTAGATACCCGAAAATTTTGGTTCGGTTCGGTTCTCTTTAGAACCGAACCGAACCGAACCGACCCGCGCCCACCCCTATATTGTACCAGTAACTATCAATGGAAATGGATCTTTCAAGAGATGTACGGGTAAGCTGCATTTATCAAGTTAAATGGTTATGCAATATGATGGTCTCGTAACTGAAACTTTGCTTAACATTTTACCTCAGAAAACTAGTTTTTCCTTGACTAATAATCCACACTTCAGATAAGAAAACAAAATCAATAGGTATCAAGTAATGCCTCAAGAGCAATTAAAAAAAAAATGGAAGCTAAAAGATATTTTTAAATAAACCTTTTTACTTTAAAGGTAAAAAAGTAACTTATCCATTTTTGTTTGAATACAAAAATTTACTTGAAGGCAAGTGCTATTTTAAAACTTAAATAGCCAAACACTCTGTCAACAAGTGTGCTGGGCAGACCAAGATAACTTCGTTAGAAGCGGTCTAATAGAAAACATATTTTTTTGAGCAAGGTTTGGACAGGAGATGATGGTCAGGAGTAACAATTGTCTCGTTTCTCTTTCAGTTTAAGATGATTTTGATGAATGTAGCTCTTATATATGATCTAAGATTATGGCAACATTTTCGTGTCGAATACGTGCAAGTGTTTAACAATCTTGAATTTGAGTTTGTGCTACCTTTTTTGTTGGAAATCGAGGTTATACATTGGAGAAGCAAAGACGATAAGAAAATATTATACTCACACATATTATCTGTAACTTAATGCCATTTAGATGACCACTGGAAGTTGAGCAGTTTTCTGAAATCATCTTCATTCTTTTGAAGTTATTATGGTTTTCAGTTATTTAAATTGATATCAGAAATTAAGTCCCATATTTTTAAGAGTGCTCAAAGCCTCACAATACATCCACAAAATTCAGCCCGTAACCCATCTGTTAGAGTAATATATCTTGAAGTAACTTAGGCATTAAGAATGCAAATAGATTGAGAGACTGCTGCCACCATATTCTATTTCCACATTGGAAATTTCAATCCCCAAATGGTGAAATCCTCCTTGAATAGTATAAAACTGGCACGGAAAAATGAACAGGTAATGACACTGAAGCACAAGCCCTTCCATGGAATCTTGACTGGTTAAAAGAAAAATATGAGGAGCTGCTGCCTTTATAGCATCGTCTCCTTAAAAAATGTATACCATTGATGAATAGGCTTGATTTCGTGTTCCCAGTGGACATGAACAAAACTGTCCATTACTGACGTAGCAAAAAAACACTAATAATGGTTATCTGAAATGGTCATAAATTTAGAGAATCCGACAGAGGTTATAATAGATTAGATGTTCTGCTGGGCTATAGGACTAAGAGCGGCAGCTGCAACCTTATAAAAAATGGACGAAGTAAAATGAAAAGGATTCCAATTTCGCTAGGATTCCACTAAGGGCTGAAGGGAAGCATATAGAAAGACTCCAGTCACAAGCAAGCACCCCATCTAGTTTCCTTTGTTTATTGCAGGCCATATCTCATTTCAAGATTCAAACCTTCATTCTCCACTACCCCGATGATGACACCTGAACTCTCGTGGTCAGATACCCCAAAATCTGATGAATTATTTAGCAGAATAAGTAAGAATAAAAAATTAGAAAATTCTAATTAAGAATCTCTTGCTACATGAGCAATGTGAAGCTTTTATCATGCCTCCTCCAGTGGACATGAGATCAATTCTACATGGACGAAATACTATACTCTAGTTATCCTACATATATAAAGGAGGGAAAGAGCAGCTAGACACGTGTCGGAAGCAGCTGTTGTCAACCTCCATTTTTTTTAAAACTCTATTTCAAAAATCATTTGAGGTGAGGTCATTCTTTCCATTAAACGTTATTATAGGGATTTGGTTATAATTGTGAAGATTATTTCCATTTATCAAATATTTTTGCCCGAGATTAATTTCTTTCCATGCATAGCAGAATGTGGATGTAATATATACACCAATGTACTACATATTCAATCAATAAGAAATTACTTCATTCCATATGAAATTTGACATGGTATCAAATCCAAGTTCAGCTCCAATGAGCAATTCAATCATGTTAAGACTCTAAACATGAGCACACAGATTTCAAGATTGGTCTGCTCAAACGAGCCACATCTTGTGAGGGCATGTGAAGGCATAAAAATCTCACATCGGTTAAATACTGAAATAATGACCAACTTAAAAAATTCTTGGACAACTCCTCTTAATAAAGTTGACCTTATTAAGATAGAACCCCAAGTCTTAACATGGTATTTCAAGGTACCGACCTTCCAATTTTTATTTATTTATTTTTTAAACAATTGTAAAAGGTTAAAAAAAATAGAACGGACTCATTTCGGCATGGCTTCCAAAATTCTTAATGAAGCAGCCCAAATAATGAGGAAATTTTCTTGGCCCAATTAAATCAATCACCAACACAAGAGCCCAATTACTCACGAATCATAGCCCAATTAAATACCCATTAAGCTCCAACAATAGAAGCCCTACAGCAATCATCCACCACTCTACACCGTCGACCACACCTCAAAACAAAACAGATTGAGCGGCGCCGATGAATCTCACAAACCAACAGAGATGCCGAACTGCACACTTACCTCAACAATTATAAACCATTGTTACAACCAAGAATAGGTCTTGCTTCCATCACTCATAGAACACCGGAAAGGAGATAGGGCAGTATTGGATTCGATATAGTCAAATCCCCAAATTCGATCATTTTGAGAAAGATGGGGCAAAACGTTGCTGATTCCACAGAGAACTCTTCCAAGCATAATAGAAAAAGTCATCTTCCGGCGCGTTTCAACATTGATACGTGCGAGGATGATTGAAAGATGAGTAAATCTTTCTTCAAGTTCCCGAGGTCGTATGTAATAACTTTCGATTTCTGCCATAGGAAATTTCTAAAATTCCTTGTATGGTTCAGATGGATCCGACATGAGCAGTCTCTGATTTATAACTTTAGTGTGCATGTGGTGTTGCAGTCTGGAGCAAAATCTGATCTTTGTAAACCTCAGTATGTAGCTTATCTGGAAAAATATGAACAAAAACTTTGGTGGGGAAATGGTGCCTCCTTTTACCACCAAAGTTCAGCCTCTAACGGTTTGCCTATTGAATGAAAATTTGAAAGTCTTGGGATTTGGATCTATTGATTACACATAATTTTGTGGGAAGTTTGATGAGAAAACTGAATGGGAGCAAGTTTGAATTTGTTTGGATTTTTGCTACAAAGGAAGACACAAAAGTTACGTTTATGAAGAAGCAGCAGAAAAAAACTTGCATAGATAGTAAGGAGATTTGATCGGACGAGCGGCACGAGGCCGCTCGCCGGAGAACAAAGATTACAATTTTAACCCACGGTGAAATTAAACCCGCTTTGAATTTTACCGATTCTACCCCTGCCCCTTCAACAAACTAGGGGTTTTCTTATGTTGAAAAATATTTTTCTTTTTTTATTTTCACCCAAAATGTTTTTATTCCAAGTTTGGAAGTTTTGATTTGGTCGATGCTGCGTTTTTTCTATTCAATCACCTCAAATGCTTGGAGTTCATTCTAAATCAATTTGGAGGATATTTTCACAAAAGCTCTCGACAAGGATTATTTTCGTCATTTCGCAAGTTGGGCATTACGGATCTTCATGCTCCAACTTGAGAGGGAGTATTAAACGTGATTATAAGGATTTGGCTATAATTGTGAAGATTATTTCCATTTATCAAATAGTTTTGACCTAAATTAATTTTTGTTCCATGCATAGCAGGATGTGGATGTAATTTGTACACCAATATACTGCATATTCAATCAATAAGAAATTACTTCATTCCATATGAAATTTAACACTTTCAATACCCTTTTTCCCCTTTCTCCATTCCACCATGCAACCGACCACTCCTCTCCCATTGAGTCAAAGAAGCCCAAAATCATGGTAGGTGAGGCCATTCTTTCAGTACTCATTTTTACCTTTTCTCCATTCCTCCACGCAATCGACCACTCCTCTCCCAGTGAATCAAAGAAGCCAAGTAAAGTGATTATTCATGCTGGGCCTCTCCCATTGAATCAAAGAAGCCAAGTGATTATTCATGCTGGACTTTTCTTTGTACTGGCCAGAAGGGATGTTTATAGAAAAATCTTGCGCAATTTTGGGTCCCTCTTATCCTTCAGATCGATTCTTGAATTTCACTTTTTTCGATGGGTTCATTATGCAATTTTGTAGAAAGCTTTTTTATTGCTGTTCGGGTCAAATTATTGGATTTTTCAATTAATTATTCTCTGTGTTTGTGAATTTTGGTTTGCTTACAATGATTTTCCTTGAGCCATTTTTAACTCGAAAAATCTTCAGTTGTGCAGGAGAATCATAAGCGAACAAGAGATTCGGGAGGGATGAAGTTTTGTGCCAGAAAGCAAGGGATTTTTTCAGATTAGTTCTTGAATTTCACTTATCCTCGAAGGTTTCATTTTGAGTTTTCATAGAAAGATTTTTTCTTCCTGTTTCTATCAAATTATTGCGTTTTTTATTTTATTTTTTTTATGTGTTTGTGAATTTTGGTTTGCTTAAATTGATTTTTCTTAAGCTGTTGTTTAATTTTCTTCAAATTGCAACTTTGATGTTTGCTTTCGATTTTTGTGGTTTATACATGATTTTAAAAGTTTCAGTTATTTCTAGCGTTGGAGTTGTTTTTTCTCTTGCTTGGGTATGAATTTCAATTTATTTTGGGTGTTTCATTTTGAAATTGAAAATTGGGGTCCCCATAATAAATTAAGTACTTTCATTAAGTGATATACATGGTTTATTAGATCGGTTGTTTTTAGTTTGAATTAGTTTATTGTCGTGGCAGGATTTTAGAAATATGATATTTTGTTACTTGATGTAAATCTTAGCCCTGTTATCACTGCTATACGTGTTTTTTTGTGGGTCTTCATTCGTTCATGCGCCATCGCTTGAACATTCTATTGTCGTTTTGATTATCTCGCGGACTTTCATATGTCTTCGATTGCATCTGTTCTTCATTTTCTCAACCATCGTTATTCACACGATTATCAGGCAAACGGTGTAACATTTCTTCAGATATGTTGTTTTGGTATTATAATCGCGATATTTTTTTTCTGCCTATCAGATTTCCTATATTTTTGTCATAGATTTAGTAATCTTCATCAACGATAACGATTTTGTATAGTTTCTGTCTTTTTTTCTTACATCAATTTTTATCATTGTATTATTTTGCTTTTAGTGCGATTCATGTTCTATGTTAATTTCCTTCGGATTTTTTATGGAGTTTATATACATTTTGAAAAGTTTTGATCATTTTTGCCGTTCGAGTTGTTATCTCTTTTTAGTTTCTTGTTTGTTAGTGTTACTGTTACTAAAGATCCTTTTTTTTTTCGCTTTAACTTCTCTATTCGACTTTCTACTCATTTTACCATGTTTCTCGATTTCTTTAACATCTTCATTTGTCCTACTCTATTGATTAAAAGGTGAGAAATTTTTTTACCCTATGTGTTTTTTTATTTGGTATGATTCTTTTGGGTTTTATTGCACTTTTGTTTGTGTACATTTTAATTTTTTATATGGGGTTTTGAATCCAAGTTATTTTTCGATCGTTTGGGTTAAATATGCCTGAGATGAATTTTTGACGATGTTTAAATTGAATTATCTATCTATTTGACTTGCTCTTTTAGAGTTGTCAATCTAATTTGGCAAAAATGCTGGTTCTTTTGAAAGAACATAACATGTTTTTGAAATTTTGGGAGATAAATAATATATAAATAGACCAATCAAGTCATAATCATTTTTATCGTACAAGTAAGGGATCAAATTACTTTAAGAGACGACATAAGAAGAAAATTATAGATTAAAATAAAAAATAATAATTTATTAGTTTTTTTTATTTTGTTTATGCATTTGTTTTGTCATTCTTTTTACATTTTGACAATATTTATACAATAATAGAATTTTTGCTACTATTTTTTTTTTTTTTTAATTCTGAATTGTCTTTTATAAGTTTTTTTGCATTCATATGCATTGTCTTGAATGTTTTACTTTTGTATTGATATCTGTCGTGCATTTCTGTATCTCTTTAAGTGCATCTATTTTATGTTTAGTCTCTCATTATATTTGTAGTATTTCATATGTAACTAATTATTTTTTAATTGATTTTTTGATACATATGTTCTTGTTCATTGCAAAATTCGTTAAGTTCATATGATCCCTTTACGCTTTTTGTGTTTAAAGATAGTACAATAAGTAATTCTTGCGTTGCATGATTGCAGTGTTGTTTCCGTCATTACTGCTTCGATACTTTTATTTTCTATTATTTGTCAATGTTGGTGAGGTGAATTTTATGCTCTTGTTTATCGTCTGATCAAAACTTTTTTTCACTTGCTCTATGTTGAATATCTTTTCAGTTGATCGAGCAAAAAGAGTGAATCAACAGAAGACTGTTACTCAATTATTGGGTTGTTGAAAGATGTGATTGATCTTGATTTTCAATTTGATTTGTGATATGATTTAGAATGACCTGTTTATTTGAACATTTATTTTTTCCACTGGATCTCTTACACAAGCTTATACATTTTTTTTATGTACACGTTGAAGAATTAGCATAGTTAGCCTTTCTGAAAAAATCAGTATAATATGAAGAGAATTTGTTTGATGGGTTTAAAATTTTACTTGCCGATGAGCTTCTGGGAAAGCTACGCATATTTCTATGGTGGTTATTTTTATTAATGGGTAACCTTTGGTCATATTTACGTTTAAATGCAGTTGAAAAAAATAAGAAGTCTTACCCTCCAATTGATGAACTGTTTATCTGTTAGTTTTGCATGTTTTTTCCTTCTAAAGTTGGTGATATGTTTTAGTTTAAATTGGATCCAAGATTGTGAGTATATTGACTATCTTTTTTGATGTTTGCAAAGAAAATGCTCATTTCGTACTTAGGTATGTATGATTCTTCTGAAGTGGCTGTGCATCCACTAATTTTTGTACCAGACATATTTTTAGATCCTTTTGGAGTGAATGAAATTTAAGAGGTTTAACAGTTTACGGGGTTGCCACTTGTGTAATCTAAGTTCTCAAATAGGAAGATGATGGTATCCATGATCTGGCTTCTTTATCCACCTCCATATATGAATCAAGTGATGTTGGTTATGTATATACCTTTCCCTGGTCAATAAGTAATAATGGGAATCTTCCACATACATCATCTATCAGCGAATAAATTTGGATAACAATACAATCACTACAAGCCATTGAATCCAAATTTGTTGTTTATATGCTGGCTTCATATATGTTACATGTTGGCACACTTAATTCTCTGTTAATTAACTGGAATGTAGCATTTACTTCTTTCATAGCTCATGTGTAGGTTTCCTTTTCTCCTAAGTTTCCAAAGCAAGGTAATAACCCGTTTTTTTTTTTTTTTTCCTTCTGCAGATACATTTCACGAAGTGTAGAAGAAACGTGATAGAAGAAAAGAGGTAATGCTACTTGTGATTTAATACCATATATACTGTAGCTTTACTCATAAATGCTCCTATATCATTTCATTTTAAGTTCATGATTACATCAAAGAGATTTGTGACGCATTAGAAGATTTTTAGACACAAGAATTGTACCAGGTTGCAAGTTTATGCGAAGTTAAGTGTTAAAGCCCAAATATCTACATTCCCATAAGAAACTTGTTAATCATAAAATGGTGAATATCATCATTTTTAGGATGTTTCAAACCTGCTTAGGTATTATAAAAATATTTCTTGGTTGATTAATTTACCTTTCATGGGGGTAGAGGAAGCCTTTTATGACATAAAATGCTAACTTTTTGGAGGTTCATTCTCTCCCACATTCTCCAGTTCCCTAAATGCTTTGTAACTACCTTACTTGCCACATTAATTATAAGTTAGTTGCATACTAAGGATTCTTAACATTAGCCTATATGATTCAGATGTAAAGAATGTTGGAATTGCTAATGAGTTAAGAATGTTAGAATTGCTAATGAGTATATGATAACATATACCTTGTCGCTGGATGGGAAAATTCCGTTCACCATCATAGCTTAGAAGCTGGTTATATTGTTGTGTTTGAATACATCGAAAATTCTACATTGATGTTTCAATATTTGATCATTCGGCTTTAGAATTAACAAATGAATCTGACTTCTCTAAAGCAGAAATTTCATCTACAATTAATCCTGTGTTTTAGAGTAACATTGGCAGCCATCATGATGGTCATCAAAAAATTATGAGCTCTTCTTCAACTTAAATTCTTTCAAACTTGTCTCTCTTTTTAGATAGATGCATGCAAGATAAATTCATGTTTGTCTTTTTGAACTAATTCTTAATTCCATGGTTTATTGATTTGCCATTTTACGGTATAGTAAGTACCTGAGAACTTTGCTCACACACACCTACCAAAATTTGTGTTGAATGTTCAAATCCACGATTCTTCACATAATAATTGGCAAGTACGTACAAATTTAAGAAGAAATGATGATATACGCTGTTTCACAGTTGGTTGGACATATTATGCTAGAGAGAAACAAAATGAAATAGATGATACATGCATATTTGAGCTTGTGAATGACGAATTGCCAATGTTTATGGCTGTACAAAGTATGTCATACAGATGGAAGCTTTATCCCTACACGAATTGTACCATTATAATTGTAATTTCCATATGTACTTAATATCAAACTTTTGGTTTTTCTTTTCGATGTATTAACATTTGAGATCTAAAGTTAGCATGATTGTATTTCAAATTTATTAATGTTCTTTTTTTTTTTTTTTATAATATGCTCCTTTATTTTTTCATTTTTATTCAACAGACATTCAGTTGCTCTTGAGTTTATCCTTATCCTATACAACCATTTTACTATGATACAAAGAATGCAGTTGTAACAAAAAGTCCTACAACCATTTGCTCCTTTATTTTTTCATTTTTATTAAACAGACATTCAATTGCTCTTGAGTTTATCCTTGTCCTATACAACCATTTTACTATGATACGAAGAATGCAATTGTAACAAAAAGTCCTATACAACAATCTGCTCCTTTATTTTTTCATTTTTATTCAACAGACATTCAGTTGCTCTTGAGTTTATTCTTGTCCTATACGACCATTTTATGATGATACAAAGAATGCAGTTGTAACGAAAAGTTAAATAGTGTGAATATCAAATGTTCATATCAAGAATAAAAAAATATACAAAGGAAATGGACAAACATCAGTGAATTTGAACCAACTTATTAATATTTTTCGTCTTTACAAATGAATTTCCCTATAAGTTACATAGACATATTTTTAACATTAATCAACTAACATGCAACGCATGTTTACACTACTAGTCAATGAGAACAGCATGTACATGCTCATTATTTTGTTATTTTCTCCTAATACTAGGGGGAAAAGAGTAGGTAATGTGGCTGGGAGTGCAGTTTTTTCATACGACAAACGTGTAGGTTATTGACAAGATTATGAAAGTAACCCATGCCACTTGCAGAAGAGACTACGTTGATTACTTCAAGTGCATTTAGATGTCAGAAAGCTGATAAACCTCGGCCAATTTTGAGGAATTTTTTGGGCTTTAAGGTTATTGTCTTTTTGAGGTCTGGTTCTTGAATCTGTTTCTTTAGGGAGGAGACCTATGTTTATAGGGACCTTACAAAGGCATGTCAAGAACCTTAATTTATTGTTAATCAAGAAAACTAAATAAAACATACAGCTTACATCCTAGATTCACCAAACATTTGAGCATTAATTAGATTACAACAAACTAAAAAAGAAAATGAACAAAATTAAACCCTGATCAAATACATTCAAATATTAAACTCAGTCCTTGTCCTTTTTAGAGTAATATATCTTGAAAGCCTTGGGGAGAAAGACAGGCAACAAAAATCCGAACAGATTGAAACACCAAAAGGCCATATTTGCAATGGCAAGTGCTCTCCCAACGTACAATCTTCTACTGCTTCCACCATATTCAGCTTCCACCTTAGAAATTTCACTCAACCATTCAACAATGGTGAAAATCCTTCTCGAATTGTAAAAAACCGCGACGAAAACACAAATAGGTAACGAAAAGTTTCCTGAAAAGAAGATCCCTTCCATGAAAACTTGACTAGATACAAGAAATACATGGGGTGCTACTGCTTTGATCCCCTCTTTGTCTCCTTCAAGTATACCCTCAAAAATATATGCTATGGGAAGGAATAATCCGATCACGGCCGCGAAAAACATGTAAATACTAAGGATTTTCTTAGTTTCTCCGAATACTGGAGGATCGGGAAGGTGGGATGTGGCCGGGAATGTAGTTTTTGATATGAAATACATGTAGATTGTTGAGAAGATTACAAAAGCAAAGTCCTCAATGCTTACCATGCCACTTGCAGAGAGTACGATGATTACTGCGAGTGCATTAAGCTGTCGGAAAGTCAAGAAACCTCGGCGAGTTTGAGGATTTTTAGTGGGCTTTAAGGTGGTGGTCTTTTTGATGTCTGGTTCATGAATTCTTTCTTTAGGGAGACCTATGTCGATTGATGGACCAACCCCACCTGACATTTTTGTGTATTCTACACACAATGTGTTTTCTTGAGTCAAATTGTTGTAAGTATAAAATTATTTGCAGATCAAGAAAGGTTTTTTTCCTTAATCTGTGGTTGACGAAAATTGGGGGAATTTAAAGAGTGAGTAGTGTTTTGGGTGAAGTTAGAGAGAGACATTTGTGGTGGTTTGCAAGATGAGGAGGTTAAGGTGAAATCTTAGTACAAATGGCACTTGTTGAGGACTTCATCCTCCTGTCACGTGTTTGGCTACTAAGCGTATATTAGATGTGTGGCCATTATGTATTCAAGCAGTCTCAAACAACAAACATGCACTAAATAATATGCCAAATATAAGTAATTTTCTTATCTTGAAAATAACCTTTTAACTTTGTTGTCCAATAAATAACTATTATATTATGATAGATATACTTATGTATTATCATTATCATATCTAAAAACATCCCATATTCCATTGAATTTGACATTGTGACTCAAAAGTGTTGCTTGAATAAATATTAACTATGCTTTGGACAAAATTTTTAAAATGACCCCTCATATAATGGAGAAAACCTCTCATGACATCAATTTTCTAGTTTAGCTCGTAATAACATTTCTAATGCAATTTATGGATTATAGTCTAGGTGACAATTAAACAGAAATGCTTCTAGTACACATATACCGATGTCTAATGAATATATGGCTAAGTTCAAAAGTAATCTTCTATGAATTGCGTCTATAAATATTATTGCCTACGATGCATTTACTATTTTTTTAATAAATAAAATTAAAATAAACCACTAACTAAACGATCAAAGATTAATTGATTCTTGAATACCCTAATATCAATAGTCTCCAAAAAAAATCTCTGATTAATTTATTCTTCAAGAGCCCAAAATCATCATCTCCAAATAAAATTTTCTGAGATTAATTGATTCTTCAAAACCCATATGGCCATTGTCTCCAAACATCATTCTCCTTTTCTAAGTATTATCTGAAAACCCATAGATTTTTCTGTGTAAAGTCAATAGTAATAGAAAGCAACCCACATTACCAATTTATTCAAAATATTCTTTATGTATTCTCCAAACTAAACCCAAGCAATTTAGCCCTTGTTTGAGTCCTTTTATGAGAACATGAGCTTGTTTGTGAGTGATTTTGATAATTAATTTTTTGATCGTTAGGAGAAAATTGGGATCCACTTGTGAGAGAAGAAGTCAAATATGATGACTATAATAATGAAATAACGGACAAAAAATCAATTTTTTTGGGCAAAAAATCGCTCTTAAACAAGCTGCATATTTTGTAAGAGTAATTTTTTGAAGAATATATCGTTAAAAAATATTGAAATATTTTAAGTTTGCGTGCAAAATTATTTTATTGAAAAAATACATTGTTGAATATGAGTCTGAAGAAAATTAAATTTTAAAGAATATGTATCCAACATTGATGCGAATCCGTGAGCAACTAACACTCACGAACCCACAACGAGATTGACACGAATCCCAAGAATGCCAAATAATCGACGATTTTGGATTTAATTCCCAAACAATGACTCAAACAACCAATAATATATGAAATTATTGACCTTTTGAATACACAGTTCAAGAATCTCACCCGGATTGCGAACGCCATAAGAAAATCATGATTTCCTTGGTAAGTTCAATGTTCAATGAAGAACAATCAATTGGAAGCAAAATCGCTCCTGAATAATTTCTCAAATATCAGAGTCTAAGAAAACAATATGAAAAGTACCCTAGATTTAATGGAAAAAAGGAGATTTAGTCTTAAAAAGTTGCCAAAACAAGAATTCTAATTAATGTAAAACTCACGCGCCAAACTGAATTCTCTGCCTGCATTGCCTCTATGCGATCGCACTGTTGAAGTTGCTGCGGTCGCATGGTATTATGAACTCCGGCCAGTCCCTGTTTTGCTTCACACTGTGCAACCGGAAGGGCATCAACTTCCTCCATTCGTTTTCGGCTCTCGTTCCCAACTACAATCTTGGACCTTGGTGTGACAACTTCATCCTTGCGTACTCCATGGCTCGACCCAAAAATGTGTGGCTATTTTTAACCCCTCGAAGTCTCAAACCCAGCCTTGGTTCTTCCAATCAATCACCAAGTTCTTGATAATCGTGGCGCTTCTCGGATCATATCAAACATGGTTTAATTGTATTTTACCTAAATTTTCAATGACTGAACTGAGAGGAATGGACAAGTAGGGCAGGGTGGGGAGAGTGGGGTAGGCTGGTGGTGGAGTAAATTGGAGCACAAACAGGCTTTTCGAGGATGAAAAAAAATTCCCCCAGATTGTTAGGAGTAAAGTTATTTAGAATCACTAATATTAAAATACTAGTCTAAGTGACATTAATATGACATTCAATGAAACGTATAGTTAAATGAATCATTTAATTCTATTTTTAATTGAGCATATCACTTATTGCCACCTAGAATAATATTGGTTACTAGAACTTTTTTCCCTCAAAAAGTCTAAAGAATGCCTTTTTTTCCTCAATTATTTGCTTACAATATCTATTTATATTTTACCAGTGTTGGTCAATCGGGATCCATGATAGGGTACATTGGGAAAAAAAATGTTGAGCCATGCTACTTGTACAATTTTTTTTATTGATCGATATCACATTCATTCATTTAAAAATTATTTTTTAATCAACGACATAAATCTTGACAACTCACTGGTTGTCAAACTAGTTGTACACTTGTTCAACTAGATTAATTAAAAATGTTTAAGCATTGTTTACATGATTCACAGTAAATGCCCTTAACTAGTGATGCTAGTTTTCACTCTCGAACTCAATCCTCAAAAAATTTCGTCCATATTTTTGTAAAACAAAAACTAAATGCTATGCAGGTTAAATAATTATCCTGGAAAACAAAGATTAAGCAAGGGAGAATGGATAAAACCAAGTGTATAGATGATTTCTTGACATAATTTTTCCAGAAGCTGCGTTGGTAGCATCTAAGTGGTCAATTTCTCTCTCCTCCCCCCCCCCCTTTTCTTGGTAGTCAACACTGAAATGACGCCACCTTACCATCTGTATAAATTCTGTACGCCAAGCAAGGTTTAGGGAGAATAGCAGCAATAGTGAAAAATCATCATATTTGAAGGTGAATAAAATGATTATCATACTATGATGGTGATTGTTTACGATAGCAAATGTCACCATTTCTGCAATAATTGGAACCCTTAGATTGAAGCATGCATTCATACGTGATTTGGTAAATCGTCAATCCTACATGTACTACAGTGGCAGCACTTGATTTGCTGATTTTTTATTATTATTATTATTATTATTATTATTATTATTATTATTATTATTATTATTATTATTATTATTATTATTATTTTGTCATCTGCCAATGAATCTATCCCATCATTAACTTCCTTATGTAGTAGTGTCTTAGACTCATATGTCTGGACTTTCCGTTGTATACTTCATTATACGCTTTAGCTAACGTGGCTTGACTATCACACATAATAGGTAAGGAAGAAATGTTCTTCGATCCCAAAGGTATCTCATAAAAAAGATCCTTAAGCCACTCAGCCTCTTTCCCGATATCCAATAGTGCTACGAATTTAGATTCCATAGTCGAGTGTGGTATGCATGTTTGTTTCTTTGATTTCCAAGAAATGGCACTTCCCCCAAGGCTGAGTACCCAACCTGACGTGGATTTACTTTTACCCATACTAGATATCCAACTAGTATCGGTAAATTCTTTCAATACTGCTGGGAATTTACCATATTGCAGGCCTAAGTTCTTGATTTTCTTTATATATCCAAGAACTCTTCCAATCACCTTTCGATGCTCATTGCTCGGGTTGCTAGTAAACCTACTAAGTTTACTTATTGCCTATGCTACGTCCGATCTTGTGCATCATACTGCATGCATAAGACTTTCTATGACGCTTGCATATTTCAATTGAGCAATTGCCCTCTCATCATTCTTTACAAGCTTTGAATTTGAATCAATTGAGGTACTACACTCTTTTACGTTCAAATGTTTGAACTTGTTTATCACGTTATTGATATAATATGATTGACTTAGGTGGTAACCCCCACTTGTCTTTGTGACTTTGCTACGCAAAATGGTATCCACCTTTCTAAAGCCCTTCATTTAAATGTGAAAGATAGTAACCTCTTCGTTTCTTCTATTCCGTCCATGTGATTACTCATAATCAACATGACGTCAACATACAAACATATGAAAATTACATAATCATCACATATTTTAGAATATAAACATCTATCTACACTATTATGTTTGAAACCAAATGATATAATTGCTAAGTTGAATTTTTCGTGCCATTTCTTATGTGTTTGCTTCAAATCGTATAATGATTTTACCAACTTGCACACCTTATGTTCATTTTCAGGTAGAGCAAATCCTTCGAGTTGCCCCATGTAGACCTCCTCATCGAGATCCCCTTTTAAAAATTCCATTTTGACATCCATTTGATGAACATGCAAGTCATGTAGTGAGGCTAGTGCGAATAATATCATAATCGATATGAATTAATTCTAATATGTTAGAGGTTCTCTTAACACTTTGATAAGGTCTTTTAACCATTTTAGATTCTACACGTTTGGCATTTAAAGGCATCATTTTTATCATATGAAATTAAGTCATTTTTCATCATGCGTTTCATTGTACTCTTGCCAATATGTCTTAATCTAGCATGCCACAATGAAAAAGAATCAACAACGTAAGCAAAATTGGTTTTATTATCAATCAATTTGTCAATAGTACATAACTTGATCATTCCTTCACACAAATAGTCTTTTCCAACAAATTTTCCATTTAAGGATGGTACAAGTTTACTGGATTCATAGACACTTTTAATGCCCAATTTTCCTAAGAGATTTCCACTTACTAAATTTTCATTCATCTCTGAAACATGTAGAACATTTATGAGAGTAACTATTTTCCCGAAAGTAGAGATGATGTCTATACTTCCCTTTCCCATAGCTTTCAATCGCATCTTGTTACCTATTTG